GCACCTCCAGCACCTCCAGCAGCTCCAGCAGGAGCAGCACCCCGACAGCGCCGAGAGTACCACTCACAAAGCTGCTGAGGAGAGAGAGGCTCCCGTCGCAACGGGACACCTAGAGCACCTCCAGACGCAGCACGTGTAGGCGCAACACCCCCAGGCTCAGCACCCCCAGGCTCAGCACTCCCAGACTCAGCACCCCCAGGCTCCACACGCTCAGGCTCAGCACCCCCAGGCCCCGCACCCACAGGCTCAGCACCCCTAGTAGCACCTGAGTCGACAGCTACCTCGACCGGCTCGGCAGGGTCTACCTGGGACACACCTGAGGGGGCAGGGCCCTGGGGGGGGAGGGGGTCTACCGGGGGAGTACCTGGTGCGAGGAAGAGCGGCGGGGGGGGGGGGGAAGAGGCAGTGCGGTAGGGGAAGAGACAGTAGTATGACACCGACTCATCAAACGTGACGTCCTGAGAGGACAGAACACGACGCGAGGTGGGGTGGTAGAACTGCCACCCGGGTGCATCAGGGGGGAAGCCAAGGAAGACACAGGGAACGGCACGGGAGGACAGCTTGTCCGCTGTAGCATCGCGGACAAAAGCTCGAGATCCCCAGACACGGAACGCGGACGCATCGCCAACCTTCCCCGTCCACCGCAGAGTAGGTGTGGTCTCTGGCAAGGAGACACGAGGCTGAAGGTTGATCTGATGCGCTGCGTACTGAACCGCGAACGGCCACAGAAAATGGGGAGCAGCCGCATGGATCATGGACGTACGAGCGACGTCCATGACCATGCCAATGCGGCGCTCAGCAATCCCATTTTGCTGTGGGGAGGCCGGAAGCGTGAACGTCTGGCGGATGCCCTCAGAACGACAGAAGGCTCTCAGGAGGTCGGAGGAAAACTCCCCGCCTCTGTCTGAGTGCAGACGCAGAACAGGAAGGTCTGAGCCGAAACTCTCACTAAGCTGGCGACGAGCACCGCGGATCCAATCGATCAACACCTCAGGGACCTCACCCTTGCTGCGCAAGGGGAAGACTGTGGTGTAACGCGAGTAGTCGTCAACGACCAGCAGGAAGTAGCGCTCATGACCCTGTCCACGGACGCGGGCTGGGCCCCACACGTCCATGTGAAGAGTCTGCAGAGGGGCCTCAGTCGAAGGGAACGAGGAGGAGTGAGGAGCGGCGCGCTGCCGGCCCTCGACACAAGGAACACAGGTGGGGGCAGGCCCCGGAGGAAGGGGAGGGAGGGACCTGGGGAGTCCAGAGACAAGAGCACGGGAGGCCATACCTCGAAGACGAGGCAGGGAGGGGTGACCAAGGCGGTGGTGCCAAAGGAGAGTCTCGTGCGCCAGAGGACGACACGAGCAGGGGGCAGATGCAGGACTAGACCTGGACATGGCAGCAAACACCTGACTAGACGCAGCTACCTGACCAGACGCAGGGACCGGAGGAGGCGCAGTAGTCAGTGTGTACAGACTCGACCCTGGCCGACGGGTGAACGTGGCCAGGTGGCGGCCCGTCCGAGAGCAAGTGCAGTGGGTCACACGCTGACCTCCAGGGGTGAACTGGTCAACCCACGCGTCCTGGAGGTCAGCTCCACTCACCAAGTTCGTAGAGAACGAGGGGAGGTGGAGTCCCGACAGCAAGCCCGACGGGGCCGCAGGACACGGTAGAACTGTAGAGGAGCGTGCAAGGACTGGGCCCCCTGAGGGGTCAGCAAAGGAGACCGCAACAGGCCGACTGAGCGGCGTGAGCGTGGTGCTGTCTCTAAAGAAAGAGCGCGAAGCACCAGAGTCAAGTGTGAATGTGTGCAAGGCCTCAGTAGGTGCAGTACCAGCGTGAGTAGATGTACCAGCACCTGGAGCAGCAGACGCACTAGCACCTAGGGCAGCAGCCGCACTAGCACCTAGAGTAGTAGCCGCAGTGCCCGGGTCGGGCGGGACACTCAGGTAACAGTCACCCTCAGTAATATCAGCAAGAGCATACATGGCAGCAAGGATAGCATCAAAATCTAGATCAAAGATAGGCACATTCTGCAGAAGCAGATCATGCCAGCGAGGGAGCTCAACAGAGTCAGGAAATTGGGTACGCCAAGCGTCAGTCAAGCGACCGAAGCAGCGCTGTGTGGTGTGTGGGAGCCCACACACCTCCCCAGTACGAGGGCCGGTGCGAAGAACGTACACGCAGGGACCTGCACCCCCAGACCTCCCACGCCCAGCGTACCATTCACGAAGCTGCTGAACCGACGGGGTCTCACTGGGGCGCGACTGCTGCTGACGCTGGCTACCACCAGCGCCTCCACGCTGTGCGGCTGCACCTCGACCAGCACCACCGCCGCCGCCACCTCCACCACCGCTGCCGCTGCCTCCACCACCTCCGCCGCTGCCTCCACCACCTCCACTGCCGCCACTGAAGCCCCCACTCTCGGTGCCACCCCCACCTCCACCGCCACCCCCTCCTCCTCCGCCACCACCCCCCCGGCCGCCCCCTCCACCACCTCTGCTCCCCTTGCCCTTGCTGTTGCGGCGCCTCCCACTCGGAGCAGACGCAGCCCCGACCTCCTCAGTGCCAACGAGGTCGACAGCAGCAGCAGAAGCAACAGAGGGGAGAAGGGGGACAGGGGAACACCCCTCAAAGAAAGGGGTGCGACGGTTGCCGCGAGAAGCACCTACAGCTAAGATACTCTTCTCAGATGCAGTAAGGCGCTCCTCTAGCAGGTCGACAGTCAGCTCGGTGGGGCAAAGGGAGAGGAAGTGATCCCTGACTGAGAAAAGTGAGTCAGGGAGGCGGGTGACTAGGTAGTACAGGGTGATGTACATGGGGGGGGGGGGTTCTTGGCACAGAACTCAGTGGGAAGGGCAGCACGGTAGCGGGCGTCACTAGTGCGAAGGTGAGCAACTAGGTCAGCGACTGTGGCAAAGGCGGCAAGGTCAGGGAAAAGGTACGGCAGCATGAGGCGGCTGAGTGCAGCAGTGGAAGGGGAGGAGTAGCGTGCAACTACAGCGTCGTACAAAGACTGAGCAGTTTTGTACTGGCCAAAGTGTGCGCGCTCAGCAGGTGGCAGGTGACTACAAACAGCAAGACGAGCAACAGCGTCACGAGTGGTCCACTGAGAGCGAACAGTACTGTCTGCAGTGGTAGCAGGAGCAGTGGAAACACCGGACGTGTGATCGAAAAGAGATACCCCATCCCTAGAATCACACTGAAGAAACAGCTGTAGATCGTCAACCCACACGTCAAAGCCAATTGCACGTCCCTCAGCATCAAAGGTGAGAACGGTAGGACTAGCCATAGTAGCAGTAGGAGCAGCAGCAGTGCAAAGTAGTGGTAGGAGCAGTAGCAGCAGTAGCAGCAGTAGAAGCAGTAGCAGCAGTCGAAGCAGTAGCAGCAGTGCTGCTCGGCAGAGCAGTGCGGCTCGGTGGGGGCGGCGCGGCTCGGCAGAGCGGCGCGGCTCGGCTGGGCGGCGCGGCTCGGCTGGGCGGCGCGGCTCGGCTGGGCGGCGCGGCTCGGCTACTGGCGGCGCGGCAGCAGGGAGGGGGAGGGGGGGGGAGCACGAGTGCTTACCAGGGGCCGCTGTTGGGGCGTTAGCAGGGCAGGGCCAGGTCGACGGGCGGCGGGTCAGCAACGGGCGGCAGGTCGGCGACTGGCGGCTGGTCAGGGACGGGCGGCAGGTCGGCGACGTGTGGCTGGTCAGGGACGGGCGGCAGGTCGGCGATGGGCAGCTGGTCAGGGACGGGCGGCTGGTCAGGGACGGGCGGCGGGTCGGCGACGGGCGGCTGGTCAGAGACGGGCGGCAGGTCGGCGACGGGCTGCTGGTCAGCGACTGGCGGCGGTCCAGAGGCGGGCGACGGCCGGCAAAGGGGGGGGCAACAGGCCGGCGACGGGCGGTAGTGGGCCTCTAAGGGACGCGAGGGGGGGGGGGGGGGGGGCGCCACGGGCCGCGAAGGGGCCGCTACGGGCCGGAAAGGGGCCGTGACGAGCCGCAAAGGGGCCGCTACGGGCCGCGAAGGGGCCGCGACGGGCCGCGAAGGGGCCGTTACGGGCCGCAAAGGGGCCGCTACGGGCCGGAAAGGGGCCGCTATGGGCCGCGAAGGGGCCGCTACAGGCCGCGAAGGGGCCGCTACGGGCCGGAAAGGGGCCGTTACGGGCCGCAAAGGGGCCGCTATGGGCCGCGAAGGGGCCGCGACGGGCCATGAAGGGGCCGCGACGGGCCGTGAAGGGGCCGCGACGGGCCGCGAAGGGGCCGCTACGAGCCGCAAAGGGGCCGCTATGGGCCGCAAAAGGGGCCTCTACGGGCCGTGAAGGGGCCGCTACGGGCCGCGAAGGGGCCTCGAAGGGCAGGCGCGACGCGCGCGTCGGGCAGGTAAGGAAAAAAAGAATTTTAGTGGTGGGCCCTTAGGAAAAAAAATCGAACTAGCTCTATACCATGTGAGAGAATTGAGGAATGATGATGAACTAAGAAACAGGTGGGGTACAAGTAGAAAACACAAAAGTGTTGTATCCTCTAAGGACTACCCCACTACAGCCTAAACAGACTATAGCATATATAAGTTTGACAGTAAGGTTCTCGAGTGAAAACCACCTTCACCCCACCATCACCCAACCATCACCCCACCATCACCCCACCATCACCCCACCACCACTCAACCGTCACCCAACCATCACCCCACCATCACCCCACCATCATTCCACCATCACCCCACCCTCACCCCACCATCACCCCACCATTGTAGATCTGGTGCTGCCACAGGTGCATGGATCAAGGCGGCACGGGGAAGCCCATCGCCGTGCTTGATCATCTGCCTTGCTTGAGCATCTGCCTTGCTTGAGCATCTGCCCTGCTTGAGCATCTGCCTTGCTTGAGCATCTGCCTTGCTTGAAATTTGACACATGGAGAGGGCGAGGAAGCACAGGGGGAGGGGAAGCACAAGGGGAGGGGAAGCATCAGGGGAGAGGAAGCACAGGGAGAGGGAAATCATAAGGGGTGGGGAAGCACAGGGGGAGAGGAAGCATCAGGGGAGAGGAAGCACAGGGAGAGGGAAATCATAAGGGGTGGGGAAGCACAAGGGGAGGGGAAGAAAAGAGCAGGGGGAAGCATACAAGGAGGTGAAGCACAGGGAGAGAGGCGAAGCATAGAAGAAGGGGAAGCACAGGGGGAGGAGAAGCACAAGGGGAGGGGAAGCACATGGGGAAGGGAAGCCCATGGAGAGGGGAAGCATAAGGGGAGGGGAAGGACAAGGGGAGGGGAAGCACAGGGAGAGGGGAAGCACACGGAGAGGGGAAGCACAGGGGGGGGGGGGGGGGGAGGACAAGGAGAGGGGAAGCACAGAGGGAGGGGAAGCACAAGGAGAGGGGAAGCACATGGAGAGGGGAAGCACAGGGGGAGGGGAAGCACATGGGAGGGGAATCACAGGGGGAGGGGAATCACAAGGTAGGGGAAGCACAGGGGAGGAAGCACAGGAGGAGGGGAAGCACAGGAGGAGTGGAAGCACAGGGGAAGGGGAGAGCAGTTGGCAGGTGCAGGAGGTGATGATTATGCTGCTGGAAGGGGCGTGACACAAGGTCAGGAGGGTGAAGGAGGCAGAGAGCGCTGGGAGGTGGCGCTGCGAGGCTTTTTATGAGGGGAGTTGGTACTCGCAAGATAAGTAAGTTGAGAAGCCGTAGGCAAGACTGGGAAGGGTGTGGGGGGAAGGAAAGTGAGCAACAGGCGGGGCAGAGAGCTTTTTGAAGCAGGCCACCTCGACGACTGCACAATGCATTTTGAGAAGCGTACCAAAGACCTGTGCAGGACCGTGCGCTTCTGTGCACAATGATTGATATTGGAAAGCCTTTGCAGACTGTACGGGAAGAAACACTAGAGGTAGTAGTGAGTAGCACCACCTGAGATAGCACTTGAGTAGCACCAGAGGGAAGCATTGAGTAACAACTGACGAAACCTGAAAATTACTTGAGGTAGTAGGTGTAGACGACGAGTTCGGGGATGCGCTAAGTAGCACTTGAGTAACATTTGAGTAACACCTGAGGTAGCAGTGAGTAACACCTGAGGCAGCTATGAGTAACACCTGAGGTAGCAGTGAGTAATACCAGAGGTAGTAAGGAGTAACACATGAGTAACGTCTGAGTAAAATCCAATCATTACTTGAGGTAGTAGGTGTAGACGACCAGCTGGGGAGCTTGGAAGGCGAAGTCCGAGGGCATGTCGTAGCTCTCCATGTGGAGCCGTGGAAGCCAGCTGCTCGCTTTGGAGTGTGATGTGGTGTGGTATGGGTAGTGTGGAAAACATGCTGGTGTGCTTGAACCAAAACAATAAGGCAAACGGAAAGGTAATCCTTGAAAGACGAAGTCGATGGGCAGGTCGTAGCTCTCCATGTGAAAGGGCACGTAGAAGCTAGGTGCACCCTGTGGAGTGTGGTTCAATGTGGAGTGGTGTGGGTGGGTGGGTGGCCGGACGTGTAGGTGTGCAATTGTGACCCGCCCGCCACCCCTAGGCCCTCGAGCCGCCTCTCTTGCAGCCTGCTTGCCGCCCCTCTCTGCTGCCTGACCGATTCCCTGCGCTGCCCGGCTTCTGCCCGCCCTGCGTGCTGCGCCGCTATGGCTTCTCTCCGCGTTCTAGCGTTCAATCATGAGGGCTGCCCGATCCAGTTTGACACGTGGCTTGACGACCTGCAGCTGTACCTACTGAGCGACACTAGGGACAGCGTTTCGTTGTTTGACCACACGTCTGGTGCTGCTCCTGCCCCTCCCGCCTCAGCTGACAGTGCGACTCGCTCACAGTGGCTTACTCGTAGCGCTACTGCTCGCTTAGCCATTCGCAACCACCTGCCGTTAGCCAAATGAGCTCACTTCGGACAGCACAGGATGGCACAGGCACTGTACGACGCTGTAGTCGCCCGTTACACCTCGCCTGCCACTGCTGCTCTAGGCCGTCTTCTACTGCCCTACCTGTTTCCCAAGCTCTCCGCTTTTGCCATGGTAGAGGACCTGGTTTCCAACCTTCGCACTAGCGACGATCGCTACCGTGCTGCCGCCCCCGCTGAGTTCCTTGACAGGAACCAGCCCCCGATGTTCATCACTCTCTACTTTATAGTCACCCGCCTCCCTGACTCTCTTCGCTCTGTCCGGGACCACTTTCCCTCCCATGACCCCACAGTCCTCACTGTTGACCTACTCGAGCAGCACCTCCTTGCAGCTGAGACTAGTGTAGTCGCTGTAGGTGCTGCTCGTGGCACTCCGCGCACGCCCTTCTTTAAGGGGTGCTCCCCTTCCCCCCTTGCTCCCTCCTACGTCTCTGCTGCTGCTGTTGACGTCCTTGGTGCTGAGGACGTCGGGGTTGCTTCTGCTAGTGCGAAGCGCCGCAGCACCAAGGGCAAGGGTGGCAGGGGTGGTGGCAGTAGCAGCGGGGGTGATGGTGGGGGCAGCCAGTGGAGGTGGTGGAGGCAGTGGAGGTGGTGGCAGTGGTAGGAGTGGTGGCGGGAGTGGGGGCTTTGGTGGAGTTGGCGGTGGCAGCGGTAGGGGTGGCGGTAGTGGCGGGAGTGGGAGTGGTGGCGATAGGGCTGGAGCTACTCAGCGTGGAGGTTCAGGAGGTGGCCAGTGGCAGCAGCAGCAGCGTCGGAGCGAGACACCGTCGCCTCAGCAGCTTCGTGAGTGGTTATCTTAGCGTGGGGCGTCTGGGGGTAGTGGTAGATGCCCGTATGTCATTCGCACTGGTGACCGTGCTGGTTAGACATGCGGGAAGCCTCATATTCAGCACCGCTTCTTCTCTTGCCTCGACGACGCTTGGCATGCAGAGTTTGGTGACAAGGCCAAGCGCCCCCGCTGGGCAGAGCTGCTTAGGTCTGGAGTTGCTATCTATGACCTAGACTATGATGTTATCCTTGCTGCTATGTATGCTTTGTCTGTAAGTGCTGAGGGTGACTATTACCTGTGTGTGCCACCTGACCCAAGTATAGAGGCTGCTGCTCTAGGTGCTAGTGAGTCTGTTCTCCCTGGTACTGTGCTTGCTGAGGCCTTGCACACCTTCAAACTTGACTCATGTGCCTCACGCTGTTTATTTCGCGACAGCACCACCCTCACTCCTCTCTCTGCACCTGTACCGGTCAGACTGGCTGACCCCTCTGGGGGCCCAGTCCTTGCCCGTTCCTCCACTAATCTCTCGTGTCCTGCGATTCCGTCCGGCTCACTGTCAGGTCTTTCACCTCCCCTCGTTCTCTACGAACTTGGTGAGTACACCTGCCCTCCAGGACGCGATGGTCACTACCACCACTCCTGGGGGCCAGCGTGTGTCTATCTGCACATGTAAACGAACGGGCCGTCACCTGGCCACATTCATTCGTCGGCCAGGGTCGAGTCTGTACACACTGGCTACCGAGCCTCCTCAGGTAGCTGCGTCTGCTCAGGTGTCCGCGTCAGGTCAGGTAGCACCCCCTTGCTCGTGTCGCCTCCTGTCGCACCAGACTCTTCTGTGGCACCACCGCCTGGGTCACCCCTCCCTGCCATGCCTTCGTGGCATGCACTCCCGCCTCCTTGTCTCTGGTCTTCCCAGGTCTCTACCTCCCCTCCCGGCCTCGCCTGCCCCGCCCTGCCTTCCTTGCGTCGAGGCGCAGCAGCGCGCCGCTCCTCACTCCTCCTCGTTTCCCCCGACGACTGCTCCCCTGCAGACTCTCCACATGGACGTGTGGGGCCCAGCCCGCGTCAGTGGACAGGGCCGCGAGCGCTACTTTCTGCTGGTTGTTGATGACTACACGCGGTACACCACGGTCTTCCCCTTGCGCCGAAAGGGTTAGGTTGTTGATGTCTTGATCCCTTGGATCCGCGCAATCCGTCTCCAGCTCCGCGAGCGGTTCGGCCAGGACCTTCCTGTCCTGCGTCTGCACTCTGACAGAGGTGGTGAGTTCTCCTCCAACCTCTTGCGGGACTTTTGTCGTGGGGAGGGCATTCTCCAGTCGTTCACGCTTCCGGACTCCCCTCAGCAAAATGGGATTGCTAAGCGCCGCATTGGCTTAGTCATGGAGGTCGCTCGTACCTCCATGATCCATGCGGCTGCTCCCATTTTCTGTGGCCGTTTGCGGTCCGGTACGCTGCGCTTCAGCTCAACCTCTGGCCCCGTGTCTCCTTGCTGGAGACCACGCCCACACTACGTTGGACGGGGGAGGTTGGCGATGCGTCGGTGTTCCGGGTCTGGGGTTCTTGTGCCTTTCCTTGCGATTCGTCCGCGGACAAGCTCTCCACCCGTGCTATCCCCTGCGTCTTCCTTGGCTTTCCCCCTGACGATCCTGGCTGGCAGTTTTACCACCCGACCTTGCGCCGTGTCCTCCCCTCTCAGGATGTCACATTTGACGAGTCAGTTCCCTTTTACCGGCTCTTGCCCTACCGCTCTGCCCCTCCCCCACCCCCGCGGCTCTTCCTTGCTCGAGGTCCCCCTCCGATAGACCCCCACCCCCCTCAGGGTCCTGCTCCCTCGGGTGTGTCTCAGGTAGACCCTCTCCCTGGAACTATGCCTGTTGAGGTAGCTGGAGTCACTGGCGCTGGTGGCACTGGAGCTGGAGGTGCTGGAGCTAGTGGCGCTGGAGCTGGAGGCACAGACGCGGGAGGCGCTGGAGCTGGAGGAGCTGGAGCTGTTCACCCTGGAGCTGGAGGTGTTGGAGCTGGAGGTGCTGGTAGTACTGGTGCTGGAGACACTGTGCGGCCGCGACCGTACTTCGTTCCCCTGCTTCAGCATGTTCTTGGTGTCCCATCTTCTCCTGGCCTGACTCCTCCACTACTGTGTCCACCGGCTGACCAGTTGCAGCCGCTGTTACAGCCAGCCTCCCCACAGCCCGCTCCTTCTCCTTAGTCTGAGCAGCCCGAAGGCCTTACCAAGCGTCGTGAGCCTGCATCTCGTCCTGCCTCCCCTGTTCACACTGGTCGTCGCGTTCCTCGTCCGCGTCCTCCTCCTAACCCCGGCACAAACACTATGGCAATTCGTCCTTCCTCTGCCTTCTCCTCCTAAGTCCTCTCTTCCTGCCGTCCCTGACCCTGAGTCTGACCGCGCTAGTGCTGCCAATCCTACTGTCTCTCGTCTCCTCGCCACTGTTGTCACTGACCCTTCCTTTGAGTCCACTGCTGCGTCTGTCCTCGTTGCTGAGCTGGTTGACTTTGCTGCTGCCTGTCGTCTCGACTTCGCCACTGCTCTTGTTGCTAAGTCTGAGTCTGCCTGTCCTCCATCCATCGGCAATGAGTGTGCTCTTGGCACGGACGTCCTTGAGGATAGGCAGGAGCACCTTGAGTGTCTTGCAGCTGCTGTACCTCGTTTCGCTTCCATGCTGCTTGCCCCTGAGGGAGACCCGGATGCACCAGACTCCTCGACCCCACGCTCTTACGCAGAGGCGATTACGGGTCCTTACTCCTCTCAGTGGCAGGCAGCCATGGATGCCGAGATGGCATCCTGGAAGTCCACAGGCACCTACGTCGATGCAGTTCCCCCGTCTCGGGCGAACATAGTCGATGGCATGTGGATTTTCAGGGTGAAGCGGCAGCCGGGTTCTCCGCCTGCCGTCAAGGCACGTTGCTAGAGGCTTCAGTCAGCGACAGGGGGTCGACTACTTCCAGACCTTCTCCCCCACCCTGAAGATGACTACTCTTTGTCAGAATGTCATATTTGTCTAGCCTGCAGTGGGGTACTCAATAGTGAGTACAGCCCAATCTAGGGTTTCCTATATGTACTCAACTGCTTGCTAGTGCAATCATCCTCTTTCTCATTCCTCAATTCTTTCACATGGTATAGAGCTGGTTCGATTCCTTCTAGGGCCCACCACTACAACTTTTTTTTCCTTACCTGCCGAGGCGCGCGTCGCGCCTGCCCTTCGAGGCCTTTGGTGGCCCGTCGCTGCCCCTTCCCGCCCCTTAGTGGCCCCTCGTAAGGCCCTTCGCGGCCCCCCTTTAGCGACCCGTCGCGGCCCTTCGCGGCCCCCTTTCGCGACCCGTCGCGGCCCTACGCGGCCCCCTTCGCGGCCCCTTAACGGCCCCGTCGCGGCCCCCTTGCGGCCCCTTAACGGCCCTGTCGCGGCCCCCCGTCGCAGGCCCCCGTCGCGGCCCCCCGTTGCAGCCCCCCGTCGCGGCCCCCCGTCGCGGCCCCCCGTCGCGGCCCCCCGTTGCGGC